ACACACACACACACACACACACACACAATGGATATTACTCAGCCATAAAAAAAAGCATGAAATAATGCCATTTGCAGCAACATGGATGGACCCAGAGATGATCATACTAAGTCAAGTAAGACAGAGAAAGACAAATATCATGTGATATTGCTTATATGTGGAATCTAAAAAAAAGATACAGGGCTTCCCTGGTGGCGCAGTGGTTGAGAGTCCGCCTGCCGATGCAGGGGACACGGGTTCATGCCCCTGTCCGGGAAGATCCCACATGCCGCGGAGCGGTTGGGCCTGTGAGCCATGGCCACTAAGCCTGTGCGTGCGGAGCCTGCGCTCCACAACGGGAGAGGCCACAAGAGTGAGAGGCCCGCGTACCGCAAAAAAAAAAAAAAAAAAAAAAGATACAAATGAACTTATTTACAAAACAGAAATAGACCCACATTCATAGAAAATAAATTTATAGTTACCAAAGGGGAAAGGGAGGGATAAATTAGGAGTTTGGGATTAGCAGATACACACTCCTAAGTATAAAATAGATAACCAACAAGGATCTACTTATAGCACAGGGAACTATATTCAATATTTTGTGATAACCTCCAAGTGAAAAGAATCTGCAAAGGATATATATATTTACACACACATATATATATAACTATATATAACTGAATCACTGTGCTGTACACCTGAAACTAACACAACATTGTAAATCAACTATACTCCAATAAAAAAAAAATAAAGCACACTACTTGATAAGTTTTAACACATATCCACCCACGATCAAGGTAATGAACACACCCATCACCCACAAGGTTTCCTCGTACACCTATGTAATCCCTGCCACCCTATTTTCTTCCCCCACCCCGAGCCAACCACCCATCAGCCTTCTGTCACTATAGATTACTCTGCATTTTCTAGAATTTTTCTATAAAAGGCATCACACACTATGAACTCTTTGGGGCCTGGCTTCTTTCACTCAGCATAATAACTCTGAAATTCATCCATGTTGTGTCAATGAGTAGTTTTATTCCTTCTTATTGCTGGGGTGCCCCACAATCTGCTTGTCCACCTTTACAGCAAACTCTAAGAGTCACAGTCACAGCTCCCCCTCCTGCCCGCTGGCCTCTGCCTCCTCCTCTACACAAACCCACCCTGCCAAGGGTGCCAGCAACTGGGTCACAGAACTTCCCTGTTTGCCTGGACGATTCTGATTTATTCCTGTTGTCCTGGTCTATCATTCATAGAGCCTTCTTTTCACTCTCAGGGGCGCCCTGGTTTGGACAATCAGCTTTAGGGTCCAGCAGGGGATCAGACCCACCAGGAAGTTCTCCTTTCTCAGGTAGGCTGTCCTCCTGCCCCCGCTCTCACCGCAGCCCAGGCTCCCCGCTGTTGCTCCTCTTCAGCTGGGCCTTGACCGGTTGGGCTGGTCCCCGGCCTCCCGATTTTCCTGCACCCTCTCACTAGGGGGTCCCACTCAGGCCCAGGGCCCTAACTATCATTCTCTCATTGGTGACTCCTATTTAATTTAATTTTATTACTGAAGTATAGGTGATTTACTATGTTGTCTCAGTTTCAGATGTACAGCAAAGTGATTCCCTTTTATATGTGTGTGTATATATATATTCTTTTCCATATTCTTTTCCATTATGTTTTTTTTTAATAAATTTTATTTATTTATTTATACTTTTGGCTGCATTGGGTCTTTGTTGCTGTGCGTGGGCTTTCTCTAGCTGTGGCGAGCGGGGGTTACTCTTCGTTGTGGTGTACGGGCCTCTCATTGCGGTGGCTTCTCTTTGTTGCGGAGCACGGGCTCTAGGTGCGCGGGCTTCAGTAGTTGTGGCTCGCGGGTTGAGTAGTTGTGGCTCATGGTCTCTAGTGCGCAGGCTCAGTAGTTGTGGCTCACGGGCTTAGCTGCTCCATGGCATGTGGGATCTTCCCGGACCAGGGCACGAACCCGTGTCCCCTGCATTGGCAGGCGGATTCTCAACCACTGCGCCACCAGGGAAGCCCCTTCCATTATGTTTTACTGCAAGATATTGAATATAGTTCTTTGTGCTATATAGTAGGTCTTTGTTGTTTATCTATTTTATATATAGTAGTTTGTATCTGCTAATCCTCAGCTCCTAATTTATCCTTCCCCACCCCCTTTCCCCTTTGGTAACCATAAGTTTGTTTTCTATGTCTGTGAGTCTGTTTCTATTTTGTGAATAAGTTCATTTGCATCATTTTTTAGATTCCACATATAAGTGATATTTGTCTTTCTCTGTCTGATTTACTTCACTTAGTATGATAATCTCTAGGTCCATCCATGTTGCTGCAAATGGAATTATTTTTGTCCTTTTTTATGGCTGAGTAGTATTCCATTGTGTATATATACCACATCTTCTTTATCCATTCATTTGTCAGTAGACATTTAGGTTGCTTCCATGTCTTGGCTATTGTGAATAATGCCAATTAACACTGGATTCCTGACTATTTTAATCTCCAATCCTGACCTCTCCATCCAGCCCACAGTGACCATGTGACCTCTCTTCTTGGATATGTAACAGGCGTCTCAACCTTAACAGGCCCCAAACAGAATGATCAACCCACTCTTCCCAAACCTTGTCATCTTTCATCTCAAAAGTGGTTCTGCCGTTCAACCAGCTGCCCCAAACCTAGGAGTTCTTGAGTCTTCTTGCTGTCTCACTCACACATCCAATCTATCAGAAGCCCTGCGGCTCTACCTCCAAAACCCCTCCGGAATCTGACCTCTTCTCCCTGAATGGTGGCCGCCTCCCAGCCCGGGCTACAGCCATCTCTCCTGGAGACAACAACCGTATCCTCCTAAGTGCTCTCTGCGTATCCACTCTGCACCGTCACTCACCCACTCCCACCCCACCCCGGCACACACACTTCGTTTCCAGCGGCCAGTCTTTCTTAAAAAACACCTTAAGTCAGGGAATTCCCTGGTGGTCCAGTGGTTAGGACTCTGCGCTTCCACAGCAGGGGGCCCGGGTTCAATCCCTGCTCAGGGAACTGGGATCCCACAAGCCGCACGGCGCTGCCGGAAAAAACCAAACCAAACCAAAACAACTTAAATCAGATCACGGCAGGCCCCTGCTTAAAACCACCCAATGGGGCTTCCCTGGTGGCGCAGTGGTTGAGAGTCCGCCTGCCAATGCAGAGGACACGGGTTCGTGTCCTGGTCCGGGAAGATCCCACATGCCATGGAGCGATTGGGCCTGTGAGCCATGGCCACTGGGCCTGCGCATCGGAGCCTGTGCTCCG